TTAATGGTGGCTAGTCTTCAGGTGATCACAGATGTTTATATCATAATCTTCTTCTGTTGACCCGAACGTGCAAGACAATTATAACATTACATTTACACTTTTTGGTACAGCTCTGGAATAATGTGAAAATTAAGTATATTCTCCACTATAGTCCTCCATCGACATATTTTTCAGGGAGGTTAAATAAATAAGTGTAGGCGAATCAATTTCCCGTCGAGAAAAAAATAATGATTACGAAGCCATAAACGGGAGTGAGTGACTATAATCCAGCGCGTGTTGACGGTATGTACTGCAACAACTACTGTCAACTTAGGGTCCTATTTTACATCACTTATTGCAACATTATAGGAAAAAAAATGACATAGGGTAGGAAGAAGCTAACACAAGAATAAAACAAGGAAGAATAAATGGTTGGAGAAGGTATTGAGAACTGAAAAGAGACGAAGAAAATATAGTCCTCAAGATGTTGGCATAATGGACCACTTACTCTACCTGTTCTAAATAACGTAACTATGACTCGGGTGAGTAAATAACAAATTTAATATGTTAAAAAATTAAATAGGTAAGCTTAAAATAATGACAGTGTAGGCATGAATAGTGTAGATAGAGAAACGAATAAAAATATGAAGAAAATTACGTGTGAGATAAAGTAAACATTGAGGAAGTGGTGTGGATGAAAGACCTTTTGAGTTTGTTCAGTGAAGCTGCAGTAGTGGAGCTGAGATAGTGTGTGGGAGTGTGAGATAGTGTGAGGATATGGTGTGTGGGGTGTGAGGATGGTGTGGGGTATGAGATGCTAGCAGGGTGTGTGATGGTGTGGGGTGTGGAATGGTGTGTGGGGGTGTGGGGATAGTGTGTGGGGAACAGGGCCCTGTGGGTGTGTGATGGTGTGGGGTGTGAAGGTGGTGTGTGGGGTGTGAGATGGTGTGTGTGTGGGGTGTGGGGATATGAGTGTGAGGGTGGGAGATGCTGTGTAGGGTGTGTGTGATGGGTGTGTGGGAATGTGGGGATGGTGTGTGGGGGTGTGGGATAGTGTGCTTTAGGAGTGGGAGATGCTATGTGGGGTGTGTGATGGTGTGGGGTGTGGGGATAGTGTGTGGGGTGGGAGATGGTGTGTGGGGTGTGGGGATGGTGTGTGGGGTGAGATGGAAGTGTGGGGTGTGGGGATGGTGTGTGGGGGTGGGAGATAGTGTGTGGGAGTGTGAGATAGTGTGTGGGAGTGGAGAGTGTGTGGGATGGGAGATAGTGTGTGGGAGTGTGAGATAGTGTGTGGGAGTGTGAGATAGTGTGTGGGAGTGGGGGATACTATGTAGGAGTGTGTGATAGTGTGTAGGAGTGTGTGATCAATGTACAGGAATATACACATCTCGCCTCCGTGTGTGTCCAGTAATTAGGATGTCCGTCCCATCCAAATGCTGCCTCACTGTTCCGTCCGCTGCCCACTTCTTGTCCTGTCATAGCTATTGATCTGTCTCATGTAAGTTAGTCTACGTCATATGTGGTCGAGCTACAAGGGGGTACTATAGCTCATGTTATTGTTTTTATTATTTCAAACATGAAGAATGAAATAATATGAAACAAAATGAAATAACAAGTAACAGTTAATCATTCCTTGGAAATAAAACTACATGGACGAAGCAAAATTAAATGTTAAATGAAATAATATGAAACAGCATTAAGTAACAAATGTTTATTCCTTTTCACGATTCGTTTCTCTCTTAATGAAGGTTTAAAAATTAAATATGATTTTTAATGAAGTTACTTTATGAGGCGACTATGTTCAGGGGCGTAAAAATTACAGTTGAAATTGGAATAAACAGAAAATAAAAGGAATGTTCTAATTAGACACTGGCTAAAAAAAAAATAAAAACGATAGCTAGTCAGGTATCACACATAGAAAAAAAATATTTACTTTTTTATCGTTTTCGTAATAATAAGCAGGTAAAAAGTTTAATTGGTTTAGGCTAGAATTTGGTTTTGTTTAGTTGCATGAAAATTGGCGGGAGCGGCGGCGAAGACGTGGACGGGGGCAATGGTGGTGGTGGTGGTACAGTGGTGATTATTGTAGTGATGTAGATGGTGTTGTTGGTACTGGTGTTGATGACACTGGTGGTGATGTGGGTGGTGGAAGCAGAATGATACACACACACACGAGATAGCAGGTGCGTCAAGAGGTCACGAAGGGGAGTTAATCAGTCAGAACTATTGTGTCATATACGCCCACCAGCCATGATTAGCCAAGGGTATTAACTTATTGTAATTATGGATGACACACAAACTGACTGACTCGTTTTATCTCGTTTGTTTTCTTTGATTTACTTTGATTTATTTACTTTATGATTATAAAGGATTTGATTTAAAGTCTAAATTGTTTTTTGGAAGAATCACTCACTCACTCACTCACTCACTCTGATTGCATTGTACGTCCGGCAACGTATATTATAAACATGGTCAGTCAATCAGTCAGAGAAAGCAACCATAGAACTGCCGACGCAAGCAACATATACGAAAACAAAGGTCCATCATATTTATTTATTTTTTTGACAATGGGTGATATTAATCTAAAATATAATAGTCTTAGTTTTAGCTGTATAGTGAAATGATTTGATTGGTAGCAGTAGTTCCAACTCTTAATACCTTCAATGACTTCATGTAAATTGTATGGTTTTATAATTGGCTGTTGGGTTATCCTCTCTAATTGGGTAAGCGAAATCATTTACATTGGTGGGACTGAAATTCTGTAGTCTTTATTTTTATTTTTTATATATTTTTTTTTTCATATTGGAAAAAAAAATATTAAAAAAAGATGGACGTGTACATGTGGAATTATAATGCCATTTGTGTGTGTGTGTGTGTCACTTATGTCTTGTACACTATTTTTGTACATCATTCGTATCACGTTCATTATTATCTACACCACGTATAACAGTTGTTCAATACTGGCCGACCCTTAGGCCACCAAGGCGGGCATTTGTTTTAAGTGTAGGAGCTGTCGCCGTCACGACACCCACACCCTAGGACCTAAGTTTACGAGCTGCATGACCAACTTTCAAGGAATAATCCAAAAAGATCGGACAATTCGCTAACTGCACTGGCTAACCATTACAGGTCCCCCCCAAAAAAATATCCCAACAAACCCGCGACCATTCGCTTACGAGACGAGTATGCTCACCATTACACCACAGTTATATACGTACACCATACGATACATCACATATGAATAATACTCTTATACACCACCCATACATGTACAGTACATCATCTTTGTGTACAGTACATCCATGTAAATCACCCACGCTATGTACACTCCACACATAACAGAAATACCTACACAGATTTAAATCGCAAAATCTGTCAAATTGAGTTAGAGAAATAAGTCCAGATTTATACTACAACACGTTCACCTTTATCCATATTCTCACCCCCCTCTTCCCTTTCCATCGCCCCCCAAAAAAAAATCATAAAAAACTCCTTTAAAATTGGGTTGAAAAAGAATAAAATGAATTTTAAAAATATGTTCCATTCCCTATATGATAGTGATGGAAAATTTGATCAAATCAGTAGAGCCGAATTGGGGAAAAAGTAGAGAAGAGAGAGGAATCATGGGACACAGCGAGAATAATTTGCTTGTGAATATTATAAGCTTCAATTTCCCGCTCTAATAGGAAAAATCCAATTACGGGTGTGTGTGTGTTTGTTTGTTTGTCTGTTTTACTTCAGCGTGGCATGACTTTTGAAAAATTGTGTTTATAATGGCAATTAGTTCATCTGATATTCATTAAGAACTTTGTGTTTGATCAGCTTGGTAGTTTCTGTGTTCAGTTGTTACGACACAAGCTCTGACTCGCCTCGCCTCGCTATGTGATTTTTTTTTAATTCTTGCTGATTAACTCTGGGATACAATTGTTTGATGGACTTTTATATTCTGGGGGATAATTTTTAATTATTAATGTTGTGTTTGAAATTGAGATGGGGGGGTGGGGAAGGGGGGTGGGTTGAAGGTGTATAAAGGAGGAGCGAAAGTGATGGTAATCGGATTACCAAAGCTTCGGGGTGGTGGTTGGCGTGAGCTATTGTTGCTGGTGGCAGGTCAAGACATGTGCCAACCCAATTGACAAAAAATAATATTAGTATGGTGACTTCAACAGTAACAAAATTAAAAGTCTGTGTGCGTGTGTGTGTGTGTGTGTGTGTGTGTGTGTGTGTGTGTGTGTGTGTGTGTGTAGGATGGTTGTATGTTCTTGAAATACATAGAAGTCATCGGCGGCTCTTGACAGGATATTTAAGAAGGACATGGAGAAGGACAGGATAATTTTTCACACACTACCATCTGCCCACCACACCACACACACACACACACACACACTACTACTACCACTCCCTTTATCCGTCAATACCAACATACACCTTCTCACGTTCCTTACCTCACCACCACTTATCATGGGCTAAGAATTATTTTTTTTTTTTAAGAATATCTGTTCTAGCGAATACGATTGAAAGAAAATCATTTTGTAATTTACGGTAACACTCGAGCACATAATTATGATGGCTTTTCCTGGCTACAGTAATCTAGAAACAGAATCTGTCTGTCAAAATACATAATTAATGGTTTATATTTTAGTGACGCTGTGGTTAATATTATAATGAGAATTACTTGGTAAAATGTTGACGATTTTAGCTAAACATATAGAGAAAGAGTCATTTCCCTGATCAGTGTGTATATGACAGGAGATGCTCACTTCACCTGAGAGGTCGTTCTGCCTCACTCCTTTATTTACTACCTCACCCCACAAGTTCCTAAACTAAATACTGGAAGAGATTTAATTTCAATATTGACTTCCAATGCCACTTGTACACCCTGAGTGTGTCGTCATGCAGATACAAATATTGGAGAGAAATATTTGGGTTATCGACTTTCTAGGTTAAGTACGAGTCAACCTCACCAACTGTTTAAGTATTAAATATCAGTGTTGTATTGTTGACTACCTGTGTGGCCTTACCTGGTGGTGGCCTGCTGGTGAAGAATGTGGCCTTAATTGCTGGTGGAGACTGTGTGGCCTTAACTGCTGGTGGAGACTGTGTGGCCTTAACTGCTGGTGGAGACTGTGTGGCCTTTACTGCTGGTGGAGACTGTGTGGCCTTTACTGCTGGTGGAGACTATGTGGCCTTTACTGCTGGTGGAGACTATGTGGCCTTTACTGCTGGTGGAGACTGTGTGGCCTTTACTGCTGGTGGAGACTGTGTGGCCTTTACTGCTGGTGGAGACTGTGTGGCCTTTACTGCTGGTGGAGACTGTGTGGCCTTTACTGCTGGTGGGGCTATGTGGCCTTTGCTGCTGGTGGAGACATGTGGGCCTTAACTGCTGCAGGCCAGGACTATGTGGCCTTCCCTGCTGCTGGTGGAAATAGCAGCCCTGCTGGTGGAGACTATGTGGCCTTCCATAACGGTGGGACCTGTGGCCCTTTGCTGCTGGTAGAACTGTGTAGCCTTCTGCTGGTGGAACTGTGTGGCCTTTACTGCAGGTGGAGACTGTGGCCTTTACTGCTGGTAAGGAGACTATGCTTGGCCTTCTGCTGGTGGAAACTGCTTAAGCGCTTTTACTGTTTCAGTGGAGAACTATGTGGCCTTTACTGCTGGTGGAGACTGTGTGGCCTTTACTGCTGGTGGAGACTGTGTGGCCTTTACTGCTGGTGGAGACTGTGTGGCCTTTACTGCTGGTGGAGACTGTGTGGCCTTTACTGCTGGTGGAGACGATAAAGATAAAAAATAAAGAAAAAAAAACACTCCATCACAACTGAATTATTAATCGCCTTAGTTTGTTCATAATTATCACGACACAAAAACCTTGATAGGATTACAATACTACGTAAATTAATATACCTTTGTCACCTGTTTAATGACATTACGATTGTGTAAAATACCTGAAAACTTCTACTTAATGTCTTTCTGGTTAATACAAAGACGAATCTATGTGTTGTAATCTATCCATCTATCTATCCATCTATCTATCCATCTATCCACACATCCATCCATCTATCTATCCACATTCTACTGTAGATCTATTAATTTAACAGAAAGAATAACAGAAAAAGAACATGTACTGCCTCAGAAATTAGTTAAAACAGAAAAAATCAACAGAACAGTAAAAATAATGAACTCCCGACATAAACCGAACTCCCGACATAAACCAAACTCCCGACATATACTGAACTCCCGACATATACTGAACTCCCGACATATACTGAACTCCCGACATAAACCGAACTCCCGGCATAAACCGAACTCCCGACATAAACCAAACTCCCGACATATACCGAACTCCCGACATAAACTGAACTTATCCTGAAAATCTTATAATCAAAGACAAACTCAGACATGACACATTTAATATATCATCACGAACTAAACGTCGTTTCCTGTTATATGATCTAACTGATAGAGAAATTAAAATTATTCCTTGATCAACAGAGAAAATATATTGATAATTAATAACTAATAAACCAATTGTAATTTGATTGAAAGTCATATAGTGTTGCCGATGACTCCGTTGTGTTGTGTTGCCGATGACTCCGTTGTGTTGCGTTGTGTTGTGTTGTGTTGTGTTGTGTTGTGTTGTGTTGTGTTATATGTTATGAAGAGATGAGATGTTTTACTTTACTTAGTGGTATTGTTTTGTTTTGTTTACTTTTCGGGAATTTTTTTGTGTCTTTCTTTAATTTTCTTTCTTCATTTTTTTCAGAGGATTAACGGTTAGGTTAGGTTAGGTTAGGTTAGGTTAGGTTAGGTTAGGTTAGGTTTCAGTCGTTGCCATGTTTCTCTGTCTTCATCCACCAATACTCTCACCTTCCAACACCCTCACCCTCCAACACCCTCACCCTCCAACACCCTCACCCTCCAACACCCTCACCCTCCAACACCCTCACCCTCCAACACCCTCACCTCCAACACCTCACTCTCCAACACCCTCACCCCTCAACACTCTCACCCTCAACACCTCACCCTCCAACACCTCACCCTCCAACACTCTCACCCTCCAACACCCTCACCCTCAACACCCTCACCCTCCAACACCCTCACCCTCCAACACTCTCACCCTCCAACACCCTCACCCTCCAACACCCTCACCCTCCAACACTCTCACCCTCCAACACCCTCACCCTCCAACACCCTCACCTTCAACCATCACCATCAAAATAGCCCCCATCTTCGTTAGGTAAGAATCACAAATATGTACATTTTCCCGACAAGGCCAAGCCCGTCTACCTGATAAGGGCTGCCTGGTATTGGAAGGTGGGGGAGGCGACACACGGACACCTGTGATGACGAAATTAATGGCCTGAGAACATGATAACCTACCTGTTCCTGGGGGGTCAATGGGAAGAAAAAAGTGACAGGTTTTTAATTATTGTCTACACCGTGGAGTGTAATAATAATAATAATAATAAAATATATAATATATAATAATAATAATAATAATAAATATAATAATATAATAATAATAATAATATAATATAATAATAAATAATAATAATATAAAAATAATATATAATAATAATAATAATAATAATAATAATAATAATAATAATAATAATAATAATAATAATAATAATAATAAATATATTAATAATAATAATAATAATAATAATAATAATAATAATAATAATAATAATAATAATAATAATAATAATAATAATAACAATAACAATAACAATAATAATAATAATAATAATATTAAAAACAATAATGATAATAATAATAAAAATAATAATAATAATAATTATAATTATAATTATTAATATTATTATTATAATTACCTGTATCAAAATTATAATTATAATTACAATAATTTTATTATTATTACTATTATTAATATGATTATTATTATTATTATTATTATTATTATTATTATTATTACTGTGAGGATGATATTGCTAACAATTATTATTTTAAAGGGGATTTGGTGAACATGCGACAAAGGTTTTCTTAAAGAGTTCATTTATCTAAATTTCAAAACTTGTTTACATTTACTAGTGTATTAATTTATTAATATACTGCATTTATTTATACAAGGATATAGAAATAGAGTATGATGAAGGAAGAGTAACATTCCTAAGGTGTGTTGACGGTGTTGTGAAGGCGACAGGAGACGGAGGATCGCCAGACGAGGCGAGAACACCACCGCCAGGTATCAAGAATCATACGAGTATAAGTTCCAGACGACGATAACAAACTAAAAATATTTTCAATATTTGTTACCTTTTTGTCCAAAAGAACTCCATTTGGGCCAACCTTCCATTCCTCCCCCTCCTCCCTTTCTTCCCTCCATCTCCCCCATTCCCTTCTCTTCCCCCTCCTCCCCCCTTCTTCCCATCTCCTTCCCCTCCTCCTCCCCTCCCCCTTCTTCCCTTTCTCCACTCTCCACCCCCTCCTTTACCCCACCATTCCCTCCCTCCCCTTCCCCCTACTCCTCCCATTTCCCTCCCCTCCCTCTCACCCTTCCCCTGCTCCCGCTGCGTCGCCTCAATATCCAATAAGATACTCAGGATTTCCGATATTCTCTCTTAAACCGGATTTATAAGAATTGGGACACATTCCGCTGTTAGTTTCTTATAAGTGAAATTCCAGAGTTGCAGCAGCTGTTGCCGGTGGTAATGAAGGCGCTGAGAAACAGAAGGAAATAGGAAACAAAACATAAACAGGGAAAGAGTCGAGGAAGGTCTGTGAGGGAGATCATGTTGAAGGGTGTTTGTTATGTATCACTGGTCAGGGATTTACACCTACCTTACGAGAGACGTTTACTGTGGGTGTACATACTCGTAATCACCAAGATACGAGTATACTCTGTGTGTGTGTGTGTGTGTGTGTGTGTAAGATCATTAGTATAATTACATAATCAAGAGTTCAGCTTCATTATGTTATGATGACAATGGATCAACGAAATTAGAGTTTACACTGTGTCGGTGAGCAAGGGAAGTCTACTTCCTGTGTCAGTGGACAGATGAACATAACTACTGTACAGGTTCCTGGGTGTTTCATATGTATGGACTAATTTACTGATCGAAAAATATGCCCTGTTTGGAAACATTTATTAAACAATCAGCAATTTCGCTTTAGAGACAAAAGTTGTTGGCCAGATTTATGATCGCAGATGACCACCAAATAGAATAATTCTTGTCTGTAGAGGAGACACGATACCTTGGAGGTTGTTATAGCTATTTACGGTCCGGTACTAAGAGCTGTATCTGTAAGGCAAATGCACTTTTAGTAGGATAAAAATATGTTTTTACTTGAGAATTATCTAATAAAATTTATTATTTTAAACTGTTTTCAATGGTAACCCCTCGTGTAAGCAGGACACAGAGGCTGGTGTGCCGCAGGGTAGTAAGATAAACCATTACTGTTAACATATACCTTGCTTGAATCTAACGCCAGAAGTCTGTGCTTACGTGAGTGATGGCTTGCTGAGCTTTTTTCGTGACTGAACTAATATAAACCAAACGATAAAGCACTTCAATGAAATCCTTGACCCTGGTATATTGAGAGACTTATAGTAGCCAGTGTAGCCTCGAGGTGCACGACGCTACTCACTTCACCCCCTAATAAATCAACTCGGTGAAATAGTCAAATTAACTGTTCAACAGCAATGCATCGGCTTAGGATCGACGTTTTATCAGCTCCTGTTTCTTTACCCGCCACCCACACCACGAAGAAATTTAAATTTTCCTCTGCGTGTACAGCCCCCACCACCACCAAAAAAATATGGTTAGCCATGGGGTCGATGTGATTCGAGGCTTTCCGAGCAATGTTACTCAACCTGTTTCTGAACGGCTGATAGTTTTACATCGGCGACCTTTGAGCATGAACGAGTATATTCGTTTTCGAATGATGTGAATCCTCCGAGGCTTCAGATCTTATATTAGGTGACTCAGAGTGGATGTTGTAAATGGATACATCGATTGGAGTGAGGAATTATCGGGGAGACCTTGAAAGATGCGAGAGATGCTATCATTGCCTTTCACAACGAGGGTATACGTAACGCTGAGATAGTACGGTGAACTGGGGTGAGCGAACCCACAGTATACGATAGGTTAGGCGGCACGAAATAACTGCTGCCGCACTGAAACTTACAACCACAAATGCCTTACTGTAAGTGGATGTGGGGGTTCCTGTTCCCTACAAGTCCCTTGATTTGAAATCTTATTTCAGTGTTAAGCCAAAGCAATTTACATCTCAGTAACATGCAGATATAATGTAGCTGTTCACTCTAATATCAAGTACTATTTGTTTAGTCACTTCAAAAATCAAA